AAGCACAAACATTCCAAGTCGAATTCTGTGTCCGGGGAGAGCCGCAAATCCTCGCGCTGCAGCAAGAAGAGCAAAAAGAAGCGCCGCCACAGCATAAGTCGACAGCAACAACAGCAACAACAGCCGCTGCTGGCCGAGGACGATGTTCAGCTGCAGGATGAGGAGTTGCAATCGCAGCTGCGCAGCGCTTTGTCCACCATGGATCCCAGTTATGCGCAGCGCTTTGGCCAAGAAGTCTTCAGCATTATGGACAATAGCATGCGTTTGCGTCTGGCGGATATAACACGGCAATATCGTAAAAAGAAGCGCAAGCTCGACGAGATTTCCAAGCACAAGAAAAAGAAGAAGTGCTCCAAGCAGCTGCTGCTCCAACAACAACAACAACAACTACAACAACAGCAGCAACAGCAACAACAGCAGCAACAGCAACAGCCGCTACCAATTCAACAGCCCCTACATCAGCCGCAGCTGACGCTCGGCTCAACTCTCTCTAGCGTCCTGGGGTAAGTTTCTCCATTTGCTTTGAGTTGGAAGCTTAGAAAGTATAATTTAGAGGACAAGCCATAACCAAAACGGTCTCAAACATGTAAATCGTTTTTGTATTGTGAAAGTTTTGTGCGTTTGTAGTTTCATAGGAGCATTAGCTATTCTTGAATTTAAGAACAATACTTTTTTTGGAATTTATTTTGGGAAGAGGACTTAAATCAAGCTAGACGATAAACCATGATCTCAAATAAAATTGTTAAATATGTTGTAAAAGTTTCGCGTAAATGTATGTAATAGGCAGGCATCGGCAATATAAGGCATCTTCAACCCCATAAAGGATATATATTCTTGCAAAGCATCAAGAGTCACGACTATCTAGCCATGTCTGCCTGTCCGTATGTATAAACGCGTCCATCTCAGAACTTATAGAACGTATATCGTAGATTATAAGTGCTAGAGACATCTAATTTGGTATGAATAAGTTACAAGGAGCTTAAACGTTAAAAGGGAGGCATTTACTAGGGGTTTGGTATAATATAAATATATATAAATTTATATTCAACTTATTATTTTTACAGCACTGCTTCACCGCTGCGAGATTATAAATATCCCAAATTCTCAAGCGGCAACTTACAGGCGTCCAGCTTTTTGCGTTTCCCAGAGAAGACGCACTCGTTTCCACCGCCCCCGCCGTTGTTGCAGCAACCACAGGCGGAGCCTAGTACCTTGCCGATCAGCAGCTCGCCAGGCACATCGTCGTTTGTGCGTCTGGAGCCCAGTGCTCTAGATGCGGCTGTTGCCGCTGCTCCAATTACCTCGTCCAGTTCTTCCAGCTCCTCGCACAAACATTCGCTCACGGGTAGCACAAAGTCAGCGGCGCGTAAGGAGCGCAAGCTGAAAACGAGCGCAGTCGATGCTCAGTTGGCCACGGAAGCAAAGAGGCGACTCAGTGCCGTTGATGCCGAGCTGCAATTGACCAGTGATCATTTGTACCGCGATGAGACGCGTGTGCTAACTGACATGGGCGGCTTGTTCTATGCGGGAGTTATGAAACCCCTGCGACCGCCAGATGTTTATGCCATAACCCTAGATGGCGAACGCGGCAACAAGTCGCATGTCATGTCGCGCGAAGACATACTAAAAGATACGGTGAGTCGTAAGCAGCTTGTGGTAACCATCTCGGCTAATCTATATCTTTGCTCTCACACAGATTCTCGAAGTGGCACCCAAGAGCGTTGATAGTGTGCCAGTTGGAACACGACTCTGTGCCTACTGGAGCCAACAGTATCGTTGCCTTTATCCAGGTCGTGCCATCGAATCGGAGCCAACTGAAGATGCAGCTGCATCAGCAACGTCAGCGGTGTCAACGACGCCACAAGACTTTGTCAGCGTGGAGTTTGATGACGGCGACAGCGGCAGGATCCGCTTGAAAAACATTCGTCTGCTACTAAGCAATTATCCCATTGCCGGTGCGTTGTGCGAGAAACAATCATCTTTTTTTTTTTTTTTTTTTGGGGAATAAAGCCAAAAATCGTAAGATTTGAATAACCAGTGAATGTAACAATTTTAAAAAGTTTAAAATCTAATACTTACGATTGGAGCTTTATTCCTCATCAACTGTCCTATTTTGTGACTTCTTTATTTACGGCTGTTGTTTTCGTTTTCCCTTGATTCGTTTATGTCCCCGTTCCCGCCTCGTCCATGATACAGAGTACAACGATAATCCCCTTTACTCTGTAGGCAAGCAGAAGCGTGGCGCACTGCGCAGTGGTGACAGTGGCGCTGGTTCCTCACAGGAGCATACTGGCGTGCCGAGTGGTGAGGAATCGCACAGCCATCATGGTTTCAGCATGAGCAGCGATAACACAACCTCGCTGGCTGCCACCATGGAACTGTTCACACAGCGCAGCGAAAAGAAGCGCCTCAAGAAGAGCCTGAAGAAGTTAACGAAGGCTCAGAATGGCATTGAACAGTCTGTTGAGTTGAACGGCTTCCAAAATGGCGGAACTGAAGGAGTTGCGGCCGGGGATGGCGCCAGCATGGATGATGGCAGCCGGAAACACCATAAGCACAAGAAGCGTAAAAAGCATAAGAAGCATCATCGCAAAAATGCCATCGAAGAGGCTGAACCAGTGCAGGATTATATGACGACTGTTCAGGAACTGCAACCAACAATGTTACCGGTAGCAGAAGAACCTGAACCTGTTGCGCCTCCAGCGCAACGTGTTAAGGTAGAGATTAAAGTAAAGGCGGAGCAGCTGGACATGGAGGAAGAGACAACGTCCAACTTAATGTCCGAGGTATCCGATGAGGTAACGCCTATAGCGATGTGGGATTTTGAAATATCTTCTAATATCTAAACTTCTTTTCACGGTCTAGGTCAAGGGCGATGATCTGGTTGAGCACAACAACTCCAAGGGCAGCAGCAAAATTGCCGCCTTTTTGCCAGAGCGGCAATTGTGGGGTTGGTTTGGAACCGCCTACCGAAAGGCGGGCGTCAAGGGGCGCGCCAGAAAGCAATTCTACAAAACAATCAAAAGGGGAAAGGAGACTATTACGGTAACTGTCATGTCCATCAAATTATAAATTGCTGGACATTAATTATTTCATTTTATTGTAGGTCGGGGACTGTGCAGTATTTCTATCCACAGGTAGACCGGATCGCCCCTACATCGGGCGCATCGAGTCTATGTGGGAGACGACCGCTGGCAACAGAGTGGTGCGTGTGGCGTGGTTCTATCATCCGGAGGAAACCACAGGCTGTCCAAAATTGAAATATCCAGTAAGATAAACTCTAGATTCGGAATCGGCGTTAATACTCATATTTGTTCAAATATTAATCTATCTTTACAGGGTGCATTATTTGAATCGCCACATGAGGATGAGAACGACGTGCAGACAATTTCACATCGGTGCGAGGTGCTCCAGTTTGTTAATTACTTTGACAAGTTCGGCGCCGATTCGAAGCAATATCAAACCATATATGATAACAATGATACATATTATTTAGCCGGGCACTATAACCCAAGGTTGCAAGTGCTGAAACTACAAGACGATATTCCAACTCTCGAAGAGCTGCAGGATACTACTACTACAACTACTACTACAGAAGATTAAGCGAGGCGTGGATAGGCTTAGACATAGACATAGCAGAAGTGCATACAAAATCTATATAAATATATATATATATATATACAATATATACGTTATACATATATTTTACACTACGTGGAACAGATGAAGCATATATACCTATATGTATACACATATTATTTCTATACTTTAAAGTGACTAATGTATCGTAAACAAAAAAAAAGAAAAGAAAATCTAAAAAAAAGGACGAGATGTGCGAAAAAGAGAGAGAAATCAAGGAACTAAGCAACAGCCACTAACATAGTGTATAGCAGAAGCGCAGGCAATTTTAAGATTTGATTTGTATAAACTGAACACGTGTTTTTTATTATGACGATGAGATAAAAAAGTTTAGTTTAATGTTCAGAAAATGTTTAAAAATTTTGAAACGTGTGCTCCTCAATTGTGTGCATCCGAGAGAGACTCACAGACACAGCAACACTTAACATGCAACATGCAACACGCAACACAATATACAATCCACAATACACAGCCCACAGATACACATGTATACCTACATGTTTCAGATGAAATTTAAAACATGTTTTAAAGATTTTAAGCAGGCAAACATGCAGCAACTACTACTATAAATGTAACAATTCAATGTGATAGCAAAACAAAACCAGATGTTGATGTGTATAGAACAAGAGAATAAGCATAGATGATAACAAAAACAAACAATTATAAAAACAAGCAAAAGAATGTGTTGAATATTTACAGCTCGTTTATTCAAGGAAGATACAAAAAGAAAAACAAAAAACAATATAAAATCAAACCTATCTATAATCACACATATATCAATAAACTTGCCGTGAATATTGTATTATATATATACTCTTATACGTCTGACTAGCAACTGCTGTCGCTGGGGTTTGTTTATACGGAAATACTTAGCGTGTCCCTGACTCGCGGATGTCCTACAATATGTCTACGCTTGTTTTCAATTTTAGTTATATTAGTTTTTAAACAAAGAATGCACATGTTCGTGTTTCTAATTATTACTTGTGATTAAGGGACTACACGTCTAGTCTGTAGGGTGCAATGATAAACGTCTGTCTGTCAAAGATGTTTGAATGTTTGAGCGAATGTTTTGGCATGGGTGTTATCTACCTAACTGTTGGACTGTTTTAGCCCACTAAGTGGAAACACATGCGTACGTTGCCAGGTGATGCGGCCTCGCGTCCTCTCATCGATTAAACATTCGCAAAATTTGCATTTGATAACTCTGGCTAAACTTGGGCTGGAATAAGGAAAGGGCTTACGAATGCGTGCCTGGGAGACACAATAATTAAAAAGCTATTTAGAAAGGGGCAGGTGATTGGCCCAAGGAGTGCGAGTGAGGGTGAGAGTTGCTGCTCCCCGCCGACGGGGTAACTCCAAAAATGAGCACGACACCAAAATGGTACTGCCGCAACAAATCGCAGCCAATGCACACGTTCGCGGAAATTGGTAATCTGGGCCTGGAGCTGAGGCGTATTACCAAGCGGATTGTGATCGATGTAAATTCTTCTATATTTAGCGAGCATGTGAGTGCATAGTAGGACAGAGATCCAGCTGTGTATTTAATTTTCATGTTGGTCGCCCAATTAGGATACTATTTTGGAGGAGTGTGAGCATGTGGTGGAGCTCTACTGGAGTCTGAAGGACGAAACGAAAAATTCAGACTTTCAGTCGCTCTCGAAGAAGATCAAGCGCAGTCCCTACAATGCGCTGCTCATGCGCAAATTCAATCTGATCATGGAGCTGAACGACAGACGCTTCTGTCAGTTGACTTTTGTGCTCAAGCGAACGGTGGGTAGCAACGCCCAATAGCAACTGGTGTCCCGACAGCTCAATGTTTCTCTTGCAGCTGTGCCTGTTGCTGCGCAAGTCGATGCAGTCAGAGATGTGGCTTAATTGGGCACTGCATATAACCCAACTCTATAACAAATGCCGCAATGTAAATTCGCAGATCCTGCTGCAGCCGCAGCCGGAGCAGGAAGCTCAGACAGAGGAGGACAACGAGCCAAACATCAGTGGCAAGTGCAAGGAGGAGATGCATGCCAATGTGTGCAGCAACATGTATCCAGCTCTGTTGATGTCCCTCAGGAACATCGACTTCGCCTTTGTGCTACAGGTCAGTTTGTTAAGTTGATGCTACCTCCAGAATTTTCCAAACTTACCCTTTACAGTATGTTGCACAAACGCGTGTGGAGCAGAACGCGCTGGATTTAGTCTTTGGGCTGTTCAACATGGGTGAGCAGGATGCCTGGCGAGAGCATCAGCAGCACAACAATGAGTCCACGTCTTCCAGCCTGGAGATATTGCGCACATTGAATATATCTTTTGCTGCCGGCGACTATCAGCCTTACTGTGATCCTGAGCAGGACTATAAATCCATGCACCTGGCAGGGACGTGTGCACCAACTGCTGAAGATAATCAGAGTTTGCGCTGCAAGCACACCGAGAGTTTTCTACAGAAGGAGCGCATCTTTATAGCCCAACTGATAGCCAAAGCAACGGAAATATGCCCGACTATATTTGGTAAGACTATAATATCTATTTTTATTCTATTCTTAAGTATTATTCTCAGCAGAAAACCGAAAGCCAGGTGATGTGGATATGAATGTTTATATTTTGCGTGGATTGCGTTTGCTGTGGTCTTATGTGGGCATCATATTGGATCACATACTGCTCTGGTGGATTGACACGCCCATGTCCTGCTATAATCTCTCCCATATTGATTCCATACGCTGCTGGCTTTATCATCAGAACATTAATGGTAATGTAAAAGCTAGATATCAATAGAATAGGTTTAATACTGCGACGCCTTAAAGATATCCCCGAACCGGTTTATTCCACATTACGTGGCATTGGCGAAATTCTCACCGGTTTTATGTGCAATAATATTTGGGATCAGCTCTTTCGTTTGGCTCTCATCTCATCGAGTAACCCAAAGCGTTTGGTTCAGCAAGTCGTCGAACAGTATCGTGATTTTCCCAGGAATGTAAGCGATTATATAGGAGCTGAACATGACTATAGTTAATCCGTCTGACTGCATTACAGGAACAAGGCACACCTACGGGCACGGTATGGATCAGTGTCTTTTCAAACTTGGTCAATCTGAGTAATCAGTATTTCGCCAATACGGAGGCGCACAATAATTCGAGCCTATTGCCGGTCGCTGAGCAGATACCCATACTACATAGGCTGGGTATATATTTTATAAATAATGTTGCAGAATTGCTTCTCTGAGTTTCTGGAGCTCTTCACCTTTAGATCACTCGGTGCACTCGATGCGTCTGTGGGTCACCGAGCAGGCAAAGCTGCTGTGCTGCGAGTGGAAAATGGATCGTTTTTTTCAAATACTGGAGCACGATGTAAAGCAATGCCTGAACGTCTTCAACACCTTTAAACTGCCCAAACTCACTGCCGATTTGAGCGATATACTCATGTTAGTGTGCGTCGCGTTGCGCACAAAGCTGATCACTGAGACCACAAATAATATAGATTTGCTTAAGGTAGTTGCCCATTATCGTAGCTGAAACTGTTTAACTTGTTGCTTCTGTTCTTCGATAGAAAACTACCGATGAATGTGTTCAGATATTGTCCGCGGTCTGCCGCATACTCAGCTTGGCCAATTTTACGCTGTGCTTTCCCGCAGCCAGTCATTGGCAGCGCAGTGTCTACAACGGGGAGGACAAGAGCTTGTATGTTGGCTATGTGCTGGATCAGATCTTTTTGCCCAGCATACGCGCCACCAAGGATATAGTCATACTCAAGCTCATATTGAAGCTCATCTGTGAGGCATGGCTGGACTTCATTTACCAGAAGCGCATACGTTTCAGTGTGAATGGGGCGCTGCGTCTCCTGAACGACTTTGATGATGTGCGCGAGTGGATCCTTGGCTGCACTCTGCTGGACGAGCAGCAGCTGGACAAGCTGAGCAACCATGAAGTGCTGCGCATGTGCAAGGGCGTTGGCAAGATACTTTTGCGCAAGCCAGAAGATATCATTTCCATTACGCAGTCGCCAAGGTTCGACAAGAAGACACGTGAGTTGCTCCAAATCGTCTTACTCTTGAATATTCTTCTCACCTGTTGTTCTTAATCACCTGTTGCAGAAGATGCAAGTGCCCAGGACACACAGCTGCCATCCGAAATGTTTGTCTCCAACCAGAAGCACTGGCTCCAGTTGCGCGCAAATGCTGGTAATGGATTTCCCCTGCTGAAGCTCTGCTGTGGCGATGACATGTTGTAAGCCGCATAGTTAGTAAAGAATAGAAATGTTTATTGTGTCGCGAAAATGCTTTACAAAAAATTGAAAGATCTAAGTACATTGTGTATAAAGTAAGGCTTGCCTATGATAATGGTCTTTAAAAATCTATTGGTGCTCCTAGGCGGGCACCTTGCGGCTGATTATCTTTATCAGCTCGTCGACGCGTTCACTTTTGCCAGCAAATTGTTTTGGATGCGGTCCAATCATTTGAATAATCATCTGTACGTCCGGAGATACCTAAGATGAGAAATGACACGAGTTGACAGCTGTCGGCTGAAATGTTATACGAATGTGGGTCAATACCTCGAGGAAACGTGCCAGCGCCTTCAGCGTGCGAAAGATTTGATCTTCGTTGGGACTGCTTTGGAAGAACTGCAGTATGGCCATTGCCAGCTCCACAGCAACATCATCGAATACCTATTAAATAAACCAAATATGAGCTCAGTTATATACTATATATATTGAATTTCTAGCATGTTGTGCGTACCACAGTTTTCACTTCCTTGATGGCTATGTTGTACAAAATCATGGAGCCAATATTCTTTAGCTGCGGACAATTCGAGAGTATGCAATGGACGGCCACCTTGGTGGTTACGCGTATATTTGAAATGTTCTGGCCATTGTATTCCCACTCCGAAATGTATAGCAGCCATTCTGAGGGACCCACATTCTCGAACAGATTGCAAGTCTTGTGCAAGTGAAAATATGTTAAATTTAAGATATTATTTAAAGATTGGAATTGAAGGACTTACAAACATGGCCCAGGCCTGCTGCTCTTCGGGCGTATGCTTGTCAATATCCTGTGCAAAATTCATCAGCGTGTGATCTCGGCGATCCTGATGCAAGATTATAATCACATCATCCTTGAGTGCTGCATAGGCCAGCGTGCGTATCATATGTATCCGTGTGTCCGGCGAGAAGGCCTGAACATCTCGCAGCACGCGCTGCACAAATACCAGAAAATTGTCACCCAACGCCCAGGAGCCATCGTCTTCGATCAAATACTGATGCAGCTCCTCCATGGCGACTTCCTCTTCTTTGGAAATTTTGCCATCCAACAATTTCACTAAGCACTCTAATTCAGTCTTTATCTATGAATATTGTTGATATTGATTATTATAAAATAACTATATATAGGCTATAGCTTTGGAATTGGTGCTGCATATATATGTATAAATATATATATATATATATATATATATATATATGTGTATAATACTTACGTTGATGTCTTTGCAAACCAGCGCCGGCTCGCGCGGTATTTCTTTTTCCTCAGTCGACTTGGAACGCTCTTTGCCATTCTGTGGCTGCTGTTGTTGGGCTGTGGGCTCTGACATGTCCGTCTAAAAATAGTAGAGTGAGAAAATTGAATTAAATAAATTTTCATATTTATAGATAAAAAGACGACGCCAAAACAAAAGTCTTCACTGCAACAGAAAAACGTCATTCGACATATTTTGCCTTGTTTTTCTTCACCGAAATGTTTCTTTTCATACCAAATTATTTTTTACGAACATTTTTATGCCTTATACAAGGCATATATATGTTGTAATTTTCAGTGAAAATTATTGTTATTGGGCCCTCGTGCCGAAATGTTTATAATTTCGACATCAGCATTATTTGCGCAATTATCGTTTGATTATAAACAAAGAGCTCCGTGAAATCATAGAGGGCGGCAAATAAGAGGGAAAACAGAAACAGGACTGGAAAGTTGTCAAACCAATGTGCGACACTAAAACTGATGAAAACTGAAAATAGCCGAGGTATTTTTAGTGTTTTACTTTGCATAGACACACAAAAAAGTGTAAAAAGAATAAAAAGAATAGGAACAGGCGACGTACAAGTGCAATGCAATGTCTTATAGGCAGGTATTGCAGAAGTGTCCCAGAAATGGTGCTTAACTTTTCCGGCTGCTTCAATTAAATTGTATAATTTATAGATTTCTTAATTACTCACATGCTATTTTAGTATAAATGACACAGAAATTCCAACGATTTCAACACCGATTCACACAGCAATTGGACGTAAATAAAAGCGTGCCACAAAATATTTCAGTTGCTTTTATTTTCTTATATATTTTTTGGCCCAAACTGCGCTTTGTTTATAGAAATTTGCAGAAATTGTTTATTTATTGCTTGTCTGTGAAGTGATGTCTGTGCTGTGATGTCAGGCTGCAACTTTCTGTATATGTAATTCTTTTTATTAAATTCCGTCGGGAGCCGTCTATACGCGTTCCGTTTCCACTGAGAATCGGTTCGAAATTGCCCGCTGTTTTTGCCGAAAATTCCTGAGCAAGCGTGAAAACTTTCGGAAAATGCATACATAGGAACAAGAACCGGTGATTATATTGTATTCGTATTCTTTTATGTACGCATCTGAGAGTGGGTTTTCGTGTCGGTTCTTTATAAATAGAAAGATTTCTCGCGGCTCTCAATAGAACGTAGAATGGCGTTGCAATTACACTGCCAAAAATATCGTGATATTTTCTGTATCGTGATATTATCTTTACGAGTTCTTGTGTAATATTCTAAATATGCATCTTAAATTTCCAGCATTTTTAAATTCCTCGTGCATATTAAACTTTTTGGTTAGGGTCAATCGTCAAACGTTAAACATGAACGCGTTGGACAAGAGGGCGGTCTCTGGGTAAGGTCGGGAAAAACACAAAATGCTATTAAAAGGCGACCAAAATACATTCGCTGCGCAGCGGGCAGTCCTGTCATATCCTGAAAGGAACAAGTCTCACATTGCGTAGCCGACATGTTGACCAAGGCCCGTATACGCGATTTTCCATCAATTGCTTCTGAAGCGTTAAGCAGTGCAGGCGCTAAACGGACTTTATCAGTTAAACCTAAGAAATAAGGAAAATGAGAGCCACTGTGGAGATTTTCCTTGGCCTGGCGGCGATTTTAATATGTCTTTACACTGCGAATGCCTCGCTAGAGATCGAAAACAATGAAGTGAATGTGAGTAAAAGTGCATTAAAAACTATCCAGCACAATTAAACGTTGAGTGCGGTGCCGTTAAATTGTGAAGTTTTAAAATAATGTTTATTGGCCTTAAATGAATGCCCATAAAATTATTAAGTGCTATATAGAATGTGTGTTTATGACAGAATTACATTTAAAACTGGAACAAGATACTCCTTGAAGTGTTGAGACAAATGTTGCAGACAAATCGAATTTCATATTCATATGTGCTAATAGATGTTTCCTTTCTCTGACAGCATAAGCTAAGCGGCGTTATACAATGGAAATACGAGAAAAGACCATTTTGCAATGCATTTACAGGTGACTCAAGCCAAAAGTTCATACACGTTAAATATTATAATCAAAACTAGTTAATAATATAAATTGTCAACCACATCATTTCAGGCTGTGGACGTAAACGCACCTCCTATCCCTCCTATCCGCCATTTTCACTTATTAAACGCAATGAGCTCGAGGAGAAGCCCTACAACAATGAATATCTGTCCGAAGGCTTAAGCGATCTGATCGACATCAATGCAGAGCCAGCTGTTGAGAATGTGCAAAAGCAGATCATGTCGCAGGCCAAGATCTTTGAGGCTATAAAGGAGGCCAGCAAGGAGATCTTTAGGCAGAAGAACAAGCAGAGAATGCTCGAGAACGAACAGCAGCAGCAACTGGAGCAGCGCGAGAACAATTAATATGGCATAACGCACATGAGTCTATATACCCCAAATTAAATACAATGCAATCGTTCCTGTAAATAAGTAATCTATCCATAAATATATAATAAATATATAAACGTATTCGTGTATGTGCTTAGTTATCTGAGAGAAACTACAAGTACATTGCAGGCATTTAATAAAAGTGTTGACTCTATTCATAAAATAATCAGGCTAATTATTTGGTGGTCATTGATAAGGCGACTTAACTGCTATCAACTAATCACTATGCGCTATCTTAATGGAAAACTGTTGGTATAAATTGTTTCGCAATTTTTCAACAAATTTCATTCAGTTGGGCATCCTTTTGGAGAGGCGCACTTTGACCCCACCCTTGGGCAGCAGCGCAATGCCGGAGGTTTCAAACTCCAGATCCCGTTTGCTCATCACCTCGATGTTGAAGTTCTGCAGTATCTTGACTATGGCCAATTTGGCATTAACGCGACCCATGCGCTGGGCAATGCATATCCTGGGACCCTCACCGAAGGGCATATAGGCTATCGGATTATAGTTTTTGGTATCCTCAGCAAAACGATAGGGATCGTATTTTTCAGGATCTGGGAAATACTCTGCGTCGCGATGCATGCCATGCAGCGAGATGACCACCGGAGTGCCCTTCTTTATGACATGGTCCGTGTCCGGGATTGTATAGTCCTGCGTGCATTCACGATTTAGCATTGGCAGACCGGGATATTTACGCATAGTTTCCTGCAGACATAGCTCCAGAAACTCCATCTTGTTCAGTACGTCGTAGGTTATTTTGCCATCGTTTTGCTTGAGTGTCTCATCCACCTCGCTTTGCAAACGTTTTAGATGCTCTGGATACTGTGCCAGTTCGAAGATTGTAAATGCAGCCGTCGAGCCGGTGGTCTCCTGTCCAGCTACGTAAAATATAAAAGCCTGGGCGGTGATTGTTTCCAAAGATATACTCTGTAATTGACCTGAAGATGGGAGATCTATAAGTGTATAGATTATACCAGATAATATTCATTAATGTTTACCATCATCATTGGTCTGAAGGCTCCAGCTTTTGCTGTCGTCATCGTCAATGCTGCCCTTGTTCCTCAGCTGCATGAGCAACTGCAGCATGTCCTTGCGCACAATGCCGTGCTGCTCACGATATTCGATGGTGTCTTTGACAATGGCCAACATGGCCAGTCCAACAGGATTCTTGAAGCCAATGCGAAACAAAAACTTGGCGACACTGCAACAATTCGATTAAGCAATCATTTATATCCAAATTGAAGTCTGTCTGTTACTTACGGAGGAACCAGGAAAATCATCATTCCGAAGAGTGCCGTAAAGCGGGTATTGCGTCGTATTATAGTAACCAGTTTCTTGAATTTATTGTCTGGCTGTTCATAGCTATTCACGTCGAGTCCGAATATAACTGAGGCAATTATATCGATGGCATAGGTTTGAAGCACCGCCTTCAGATCCACCTCTTTGGAACCCTGCTCGGGCAGCTCTTTTTGCAAATGGGCTATCATTTTGATGCCAATGTCTTCTGATGTGCTGTACATGCCCTTCAGCTTGCCAGAAGTAAAGCACGGCGACAGCTTGTGCCGCATGGAACGCCAGCTTTGACCGCGCAGCGCAAATATTGACGCTGACAGAGGATCCTTATGCTCGTCCACGTATACGCCGCGATCGTGAAAGCTTGCGAAGTCCTGAGCTAAGACACGACGAGCCAGCTCAGCATCGCGTACCAAAACAGCCGGCCGGAAGAGTAGATAGGTGCCCAAAAAACGCTCTTTACTGTTTTTATACACATCATAGACGGCCATGCCCATGGCCTTCTCCATTCTCCAGACGCTGGCCAGACACCCAAATGGGATGCTGGCGTTTTTATCATACGGAAAACCACGACGCTCCCAATATGAGTAATGGTGCTTAATATAATACCAGCCCAACGCTAAAAGCGTTAGGCCTAACAAAACTAAAGATAACATTCGGAGGTTCAACGTGAACTGAACTAAACGAAATACAAAACTCGTTTGACTGCTGTCCATTTACGGACGGCGTATTTTATACACTCCCGTGATTTCATTATAGCAAGGCACTCTTTCATAGTATGTAAGCACTCTTTGTCCAGAGGGACTGAGCTATTAATAGCGTAATTCATTTTGAATAACCTCTTATCAGACGCGACTTTAGAATATTTGATAGTAGCTTGTGGCCACGTAAGCTTGTGGTAGGTTATGTTAAATTATTAATCACCTGTAAGGCGAGTGCATGCTAACACTTTTAGAGCAAGTAATTTCTCAAAACGGGACACAAATTGTAGAAAATTATTTGGGTTGTACAATGTATTCAGTTGTTTTCTTTAATAAGATAGTTGGCATGGATACTTTACACAACAGTCCCCAATAACGGGGGAGCCAAGTAACAATATATAAAATGTTAGACATATACTCGGGAATCACATATTAAATATGTAAGTTTAACTACAATTGCATATATGCTGATATAACTACTTAGTCCATAAATATGACTTTATGAGCCTCCAGTTAACGAGTGGCTGTGGGATGTATTTAGTGAATATTTATGCGTTTTAGACCTTTGCATCGATAACTTCAAAATGCAAGTCGTACTGCTGATCAAAGCCAATCAGGCAATCCGACATTAAATATAACGTGAGTAGCAATCGGCCGCGGCGTGGCGTCGCCTGGAAGGAGATGCGATTGGAGGAGCGAGTTCCGCGCAGGGTCAAACGCTTCATGGCCAGCAGTTCGTCATTGGATTGCGAGCCAAGTGTAAGGAACCAAGCCTCATTTTTTGGCTTTGGATACTTGGGACAGTGTATCGCGTAACCTTGGCCGCCAGTTCTACGCTGCCCGGCAATATTCAATCGCTGCAGATCCACGCACAGCACATAGTCCTCATTCGCATGTAGCGGTGTCCAGTTGATTGAACCATGGGTAATTGACAGCGGGCGCTTGGCGTACTCCTCGTCCAGATACCGACCCTCCACAAAGATTTGTAACGAGATTTCCGGCAAGTCTTGAATAACCTGTTGAAATAATAAGCGTTATTAGTTTGGACATGTCTTGCAACCGGAGGATAATATTAAAACTTTACCCTGTACATCTGCTCGATTTCATGCTCTTCGAAGGCATCGCGCAGCGGTGCTGCTAGCACTTCGTAGTCCTTTCTGCATAGTTCCTTTAGGACGGGAAGTGTTAAGTAATCGTGATTCTCGTGCTGTATATTAAGGAACACATCCACATTGGCCTCGTTAACGGCGGGCAGCGTGAGGAATTCGCATGCATCGAACCAACGTGCTTGAATGACGCACTGCATCAATTGTTGTACAACCAGACTGGTCGATAGCCAACCACGCTCCGCAGTATAGTCCACCATGGCTTGCATGACACGCGTGGCATTGTCTAGTGCCGACTTGGTGTCCGTCAGATAGTCAGAATTGGGCAGGGTCTGGCGCGAAAAGTGCGCTTGTAGAAGCAGGAATGTCTTTGTGTAGGGCGAGTCCCAACTGGCCGATGGCGGCCGGAAGCGACTCGTCTCGGCCATCTGTTCGTTATATTTGTCCTCGTTGTGACGCACAGGCTGCTGATCAAACTCATAGGAATCGGCGATGGCCAGCAGAACCTCCTTGGTGTTCATGCCCGGCTGTAGGTCATCCAAGAAATGCTTCATTGTGCGATACGACAAATAGTAGTAGGAGCTGATGCGACCCAAAAATGTGGGCACCAGTTGTCCATCACGCTCCACTACGCAGGCAGCGCCTGTCAGTTCGTAGACAACTCGTTCCACCAGGCTGGACATGAAGGCGTTAACATTTTCGGGCTCCACGCCTTGCAGTTGGTAATAGGTTGGATTGCGAAGCAATCGTCGGAAAAAGTATGTCCAAGTCAGATAGTCCAGGGCCGCCTGCTTGGTCTGCACAGTGCCCGCTACAATTTCAGCATTGATATGCTCCGGCAGCACACCGAGCAGACTGGACTCAACAGGGAAGGGATCGTAGAGAAACTTCTTGTAAAAGTTCTTCTTTTCATCATGCACTAGAACGACGGCAACTCCCTCGTTGTCAAACTGTGGTCTTCCAGCGCGACCCATCATTTGAAGCACATCCGTAATGGGCATGTCCACGTACTTCTTTACCTTGCCGTCAAAGTATTCGGTACCCTTGATCACCACCAGATGGGCAGGCAGATTGACACCCCAGGCCAAAGTGGCGGTGGCCACTAGAACCTGTATTTTACGATTTAAAAATAGCTCTTCCACACACTTGCGATCTGGTTCCTGTAAGCCAGCATGGTGAAGTCCAATGCCAAACGCCAGACAAAACTTCAAGTTCTGGTCGCGTATGTTCTGGAGAATCAGCTCCATTTCGTGTTCAGCAATGTGTAGGAATTGCTTCGGGTTTTCATCGCCAGCCACAAAGGTGATCAGATCCAGCGCCGTGAGACGCGTCTGTCGGCGCGAGGAGACAAACACAATGGTGGGTTCACATGGAGAGTATGTGCGTATGGCCTGGAACGTGGGACGGTTCATTGTGGCCATTCGCGGGCAGTAGTGCTTGCCTGGAAAGCCATTGATGTGCACTTGCAGTGGCACCGGTCGCACTGAGGGCTTGAAATTGTAGAGACCCATGCGTTTAATGCCCAACCAATTGGCCAAATCCTGAGCGTTGGCTAGTGCCGTGGACAACCCCACTATGCGTATGGAGCGGCCCGTGTGTGAGCTGATAAAGTTGGTGCGGGAAACAATGACTTCGATAACCGGACCACGATCTTCACCCAGCAGATGGATCTCGTCGATCACAATCAATGCAACGTGTTGCACATATTCGCGCGTCTGCCAGGAGCGACTGATGCCATCCCATTTCTCCGGCGTGGTCACAATTAGCTGCGATTCGCGAATAGCTTGAATGTCCGGCGTGACATCGCCTGTCAGTTCAACGACTTTAAGACCCAGTGATGAGCGCTCGAAGCGTTGCTGCCAGTCCGCGATACGTTCCTTGACAAGCGCCTTAAGCGGTGCTATGTACACTACCTTGCATTTGGGCTGCAGATTTAGCGCCCGGAAAATGGCAATTTCCGCAACAATTGTCTTGCCACTGCCTGTGGGTGCGCCCAGCAGCACATTGTTGTCCGTGTGGTACAGACAGTGAAATATTTGTGTCTGTATGGGATTGAAGTGGGAGAATTTGTACAGCGATTCGTAAAGAGCATTGTGCAGGCTGCTAACTGGAAGCGGACGCAACGGCAGTAGCTCGGTCAGCGGAGGATGATGTTCCGGCAGCACCAGATGTTGAAAGGATAGCGGGACGCAGGTGGTGCTGCCCAGCCAGCTGTCGCTGGTTACGCGTATGTAGTACTGTGGTGGCAGTGGCTCCTTCAATGGAATTGTCATCACGAGCTGCTGTGACTGACCGTTAAAAACGCATTTGCGATTCAGTTGAAACAGCTCCGAATGGTAAATGTAGTTGGACTCCGGATCCTCAATCCACAGCCAAAATGCCTGACTTGTCTTTCCATGTACCCGATCGTTCCAGGTGAAATCCGGCCAGATCGTTATAGAGATTCGCAACACGGTACGTGTGATTGGCTGCAAAGTAGCCTCCACCTCCAGCAGCGGCAATTCCCGTGCCGATCGTATGACTAGCTCTGCATAACGATCGCTACGCAGCCATTCTTTCAGCTCACGCTGCTCCATGTCTCTGAGTCGATAAACGCTCAGTCCGCGACGTTCGAGTTTGTCAATGGTCTCCGCATTGATTGCCGGAAATTGTCTTAAATGGCTATCAAAGTCCCATTGTCTGCGCTCAAACATCTTGCAAAGCTGCAGCATGCGACCCGTTAAAGTGGCATTGTTTTGCCTCAACACAATGGAAAACAGGGCGCGCGCGATTCTGCCAACATTTTGGGTTATATACGACATGTCGGAGCTCAATGAGAAGGACTTGACATAACCATTGGACAGATATGTTTGTATTAAAATGTTCACCTGGAAAGAGATTGAATACGGTAAATCATTGTGGATCTGGCACAAATACCGATGCATCTATACCTTGCCGCAAACATTCTCGCTACCTCCAAATGCTTTCAGCTTGCAATAGTATTCCCGCAGCTCATCTAGCTCCTCGAGCTCGTCGTCACGCACTTTAAGCTGTTGAAACTCCTGCGCCTGTGACATCATGGCTAGCAGCTCGGATTCGTTCATGTATGGCTTCATCAGTTCATTAAACGTTTCCACCGTATCGTATTTTATGTAGAAATGCGAGGCAGTGCGACCCAAGTCGGTTATATTCATATCCATGGTGCGTTGATTGAAGCGCATCATCTTGGCCTTATCTAAGCTCATCGATGCAGACATAATTAGAGCGCGTCGGCGCGCCTCAAGCGTTGGATCTTTTTGCAGCTCAGAGTATTCAATGCCATAAACATGTGGATTAATACGCATGCGCACAAAGAGGTATCTATGGGAGATTTATAAACATATATATCAATTAGATAATAATAGGATATTACTGAGAGCTACTCACGTATAGCTTAGCCACTCGATGGCCTCCTCCACATTAGAAATGGTCCCCAGACCAATTTCAGCGTTCAGATTATCAGCCAAGCACTGCACAAAGTTGGATTCGATAGGGAATTGATTGGTCAACAGGGAGAGATAATGATTGAGCTTGTCGTAGGTGGTGATAATAGTGCCCACACCGCTTTTATCGAACTGCGGCCGGCCAGCGCGTCCAAAAATCTGTAGAACATCCAGTATGCCCAGATCCACAAAGCTGCCATGTTTCGCATCGTAAATATCCGTGCCGCGTATGATGACCGCATGGGCAGGCAGATTGACACCCCAGGCGAGCGTCGCCGTGCAGACCAGCACCGAAATGTGACCCTCTATAAAGTATTTTTCCACCATTTGCCGATCGGCACGGAGCATGCCAGCATGATGCATAGCCAGACCACAGGAAAACAGTTCCACAAGCTGTTTATTTCTGC